TTATAATTATATTACTATGGCTATTTCCAAATTATTTTCTTTTCTTTTTCAGGGAAAATTATTTTCTTTGGAAAGCATAGAAATGATTTTATTAATTGATTTTTAATAAATACACAATGGCAAATTGATGTAACTCGTTACCAAACCAGCGCCAATATTTCACATGGTACTTACTACTTATATACTTCAAACTTCATCCAAATTCATAAAATATTAAAAGCTGGAACAACTATATACTGGTTAACCAAAAGGGGAAAAAGCGCGGAAAGGAGATGCAGCGAAGAAGAACACAGAAAACCAGAGGAGTCTAATCACAGTTAAATACATGCACTGGTGCGTGCTCCTACACTTGGGAAAGAAGGAGATAGATCAACATTGTCAAGACCAAGAAACTGAGAGGCCTGGTGCAGTTAAGGGTATGTCCGCTACTAGCACCCTGGTTGTGTAGATAATGTTCCGTGTGTCCACCAGTTAATACTGGAAACATAGCATATCTGTATGGATGAGTACTGGTGGTGGATTCGCCTGGAATGAACGAAGGATTAATTCGTTCGCCATTGTTACCCCAACCCTTACCGGTGGAGCCGCTGCGTCCTCCTCCTGCTCTACCACCACCACTGCCGCCACCAACAAAACCACTACCACGACGGCCACCGCCACCTCCAGCTCCACGAGTTGCTAGCCTACCTGTGACCGTGGATCTTGTTGGAATTAGAAGGTCAGATTGAAGCAATAGAAATATAAAGATCAATGCCAGCTTAGAAAATCCCATTTTGAAACTCTCTGGTATTTTTCTAATAATCCAATGGAATGATATAGCTTCGCTTTTATAGGTGTCATTTGGTTGGGCTGTTGTAACTTGTAACTGAGAAAGCATTGCTGCTAACCAATAGTTGTTGCTGTTAGCTATTTTTGTTTGGTTTTGTTTATATACTGTTAGCTATTTTTGTTTGGTTTTGCTTATATAACGTTAGCTGTTATTATTGATGGGTTAAATTACCAACAAAAACATAATTACATCTTTATATTTATTTATATTTAATATTTAAATAGCACCATGTCTTCACATTATCAATATAAGCCACTTAATTAGAATTTAGAGGGGATTAAAAGATATATATATATATACATAAAGTAAAAGAAAATGATATGTATACCTTCCAAACTAGCACACCCTTTGGGATACTCTTACATATCCCTGACTTCTCCTCCACAACATGCTGACACCTATCTCTCATAAAACCTGCTCACAATTATGCAATCCTTTAGCTGAAATCTCTCCATAATCAATTCAAAAGTGGTGAAATTGCTGCAACAAGGTTCGTTCCTTTGGCTGAGTTTGTTCTGTTTGAAGAAGTCACTGCAGCAATGTTTACTTTTCTCAGAAAGTATATTAATAACTTTCTGTTGACTGCAATTGAATCAGAAATGTACCAATTGAAGTGGCTGCACCAACAACTGCCCTCTTCTGTAATCTTACCCATTGTATATATGAATGATAGTTTCTTGCCTTTCTGGTTTTTTGAATTTCATGGTTTTTGTATTTCAGGACTTTGCTGTTGGTGAACATAAAAGAAATAAAATTTAGAGCAAAACAAAGAGAAAGACATTGAAATGAACCTACTTGCTGAAAATGTCAAAATAGATGCTTAGTTTAGAAGATACCAGAGTCCACAAGTGACTCCAAGGCAAGTAGAGGAAGGTTTGTGTGAGATCCCTAGAATTAATTTGAAATTCTATTTATATTTTTGGAATTTATGCTTTCTTAACTAAAAAACTATTAAATCTTTTATTTGAAGGAAGGAATCGAAGCCTCGAGAAGAAGAAAGACATATGCGAAGGTTTTTCATGAAAATTGAGTACTTCTAGATTCTAGTGGGTGATGACTTTAAAAATAAAGGTTAAATTTTAAATTTGATCCTTAAACTATTATACAAACTTTTAATTTGATCACTAAACTAAAATAATCCTTGATTTGGTCCCTAAATTATTGTATGGATCCTCAATTTGGCCCATACTATTTTATCAATTTGCCCTAAGTTGGTCATTCTATAAAAAAACAACTGATATATCTCATTATTAATATGACACGTAATCGTTAAATTATTATTTTTCACCATTAAGTTACTATTTTTCGCTGTTAAGTAATGGACGCGTTAGTTTTTTTGTACGAAAAGATCAATTTGAAGCAAATTGGTAAACAATAGGATTAAATCGAGGATTCATACAATAGTTGAGGGACCAAATCAAATATTTTTTTAATTTAAAGACTAAATTGAGAGTTTATATAATCATTCAAGGACTACATAGGTGATTTAACAAAAAATAAATGGGTAAGATTTTAGTACCTTAAAAAAAGTGATTATTGACGGCATGGGGCCAGCAT